AGTTGACCCTGCATATCCGGACTGGAGCACACGATCCGAACGGGGTCGCGCCGCCTACGGATCCCCATTGGAACATGACCACTGCTCCGGGATCGGCGGATGCATTCCCGTCATTCAACTGCCCGCGAATCCCCTTTCCGCGGCCGCCGCAGTCGTTTCGAAGACGTTTTCGCAATCGTGGCGCTAACACGTGTTCGACGCACGAGCGGCAGGAATGACTTAGGCGCTTCTAGCAAAGATTGCCGGAATGCCCGTAGCGCGGCAAATACCTTGTCTTCTCCTTCCTGGAAAACGGACTGGCTGTCGAGCCAATGGGTAAGCATGCGACCATTGCGAATTCTTCCGATGTCGAGACAATCTAGGAGCCCAGCCCGCAACGTGCTTCTTCTTCTGAGGCGAGATCAGGCGAGATGCCCTACGAGAAAGGAAGTCACGTGTGTGCGCCGAGGGCGAAATCGTCGGTGCGACTTTTCTCGGATCCAGATCGAGATCAGTCAGCGGGAGCTAATCCAAAACGACCAGTGAAACACGTCGGTCTCGCTCCATATTGCTTAGTGAAATAGGCTCGCTCCAAAGGAGTCGATCGCGGCGCGCTCCAAAACGCCCAGTTGAATTCGCCATTAGTTTCCAACCATTCCGTACCTTTACTCCCATCATTTGATTAATCCATGCCGTCTTTCTTTGTCCACCTATACCGCACCTCTTCCGCCTCTACTCTTCTTTCCTCCTGTGTGGTGTGTGTTGGGAACCCTCAGACTTTTTCCCCTGCGCTTTAATGTACTCCCAAAGCCGCTCCGCCATATTCTATCTTTTTTTTTTTTATTTATTTCCATCATCCGCTGCACTCCTGCACTTCCGATTTCGGCCTGTATTAGTGTGGATGATGGCGATGACGATGGGATGGTGAAGAATGCGAGGCCTTGCAGCGGCCTTCGCGACAGTGGTCTTCGCTGGGCCGCTATGGGCTCCTGACTTCTAGCACGCCAGTCTTTAGAGTCTGGTGAGGGCTTCTGCGTGCCCAGCTTGCAGACGAGCCGGCCGAATTTCCCTGACTCGGGGAGTCCAGCAACCCCGTGGAGCAGCTGCAGGGGTCGGCACTGCTGGCAGTCTTCGCGAAAACGGGTCTTAGTGTCTCCCAGCTTGCGGTTGAGCTTGTAACCAACCAGCTTGAGCACCTGGTCGATCGAAGGCATGGTGGTGCCACTGGTCTGGCTGGCTATCCGACGATGGAAAAAATGTCCTACGCCCAGCTGGCTTCCTCTTCTGCGCGGTTCTTTTCTCCGTGCCTATTTAGACACTTACCTCTTTACTTAGCCCTGCTCTTGTCATGAGCAATCTGTCGCGTCCTCATGGTTTCCGAAACTGCGATAAAGGAGTGAGATGACAACGATCCCGACGATGTTGCTTCACAGGTCCTCACCACACGGCATTACGCACACCCTACCCAACTAGCGGGAAAATTGACGTCACAGGACCTCATCACCAATTCAGTTTCCCTGTTAAATTTAGCGGGGAAAACTACGTTGCATAACTTTGTGTCACGTCGCATATGTATAGTCACTTCAACAGCCGCCTCCAAAACGGTGGCACTTCGCGGAACGAACGAGAGGCGAACTGCGGTGGGTGAGAGGGGGGGATATCGTATCTGCCTCTGCAAGCAGCGTCTGAGCTGTTTTGTGACTGACCTCATCCTAACGTTGACGTCAGATTAGCTGTTACGGAACTGCTCGTAGACCACTGATCTCTATGACAATTGCTGGATCGCGCTTCCCCGATTGCGAGCTAGAGCACAAGTGTGGCCACCGGACGGCCATCTTGCATGCGGTGAAATCACGTTTTTTGCTAGCGACGCACTGAAGACTCGTTTTCTACTCGTTCGTTGTTATTTGCCGAAGAAGTTTTTTTCAAAACACTGCGTAAGCGATGAGAGTTGCCATTGAGAACACTTGGCAATTTTTACGAAAGCGCAGTGCCACAGGAAAAAGGCACAGCAGGTCGAAAGCAAGTTTCAGCGGTCTTGCGGCGCGATCAAAGCTTCCTTGGCACGCCGAAGTTCTGTGTCTCTGCCTTCGCATGCTTCGATACTAGGGATGCCGCGAACTTTTTTCGAATCGAAGTTTCGATGATCGAATCAAGCGGTTCCAAAGGTTAGAAAGATTTCGATTTTTCGAATTGTCTATATCGTAAAATTCGACGGAAGTCGAATTTTCGAACTTGTTAAGCTAAGAAGTTCGACGCTTTTCGAACCGTCGAACTTATTACGCTAAAAAATTTGATCATTTTTGAACTTTCGATTTTATTGCGCTGCAAAGTTCGATGCTTGTCGAACTTCCGAACTGGACTGACCAAAAAATCGATGAATTTCGAACTTTCGAATCCTGAAAAGTCAGAAGTTCGACGAACTGCGAACTCTTAGGGTAAAAGTTCGACTTTAGTCGAACTTCGAAAGACCGGCGGACGGCTTTATTTGAATTCAAAAGTGAGGTACATTCGTAATTTTTTTTTTCTCGAACTTTTACACGCGGCGCTGCGTTCCTTACGAAAGACAATGCCGTTTGTTTCAATGTTCTGGCATGCTTAGTTTTAAAGAAATAAATTCCCGAAGGGGCGAGGAAGGACAAGGGGCGAGGAAGGACTCACCAGTCACCTAGCTGTGTTTGGAGATTTATGTTTGTCCTTTGTCCCTCTTGTTCCTCTTCTCCAGGGATTACTTTCGTCATTCTTGTCCAGCTCGCTTGCGCCTTTGCATTTAATTGCATTATAATTATAACCTTAAATTGCAAACGTCACCCTTGTTGGTCTTCGACTGGTGGCGGCTGATAAAACCCGTTTGCTCTACTGGCGTCTAACCCCTGGTTAGCTCAGTTGGTAGAGCGCTCCACTTGTAATGGAGAGGTCCAGGGTTCGATACCCGGACCAGGCGGATTTTTTCGGCCGCTCACCAGTCACCTAGCTGTGTTTGGAGATTTATGTTTGTCCTTTGTCCCTCTTGTTCCCCTTCTCCAGGGATTACTTTCGTCATTCTTGTCCAGCTCGCTTGCGCCTTTGCATTTAATTGCATTATAATAATAATGACAACGGGTTTTGACGATTATCGTTTGTGCCAGATTTGAAGCGCACTGTAGCCGAAGCTATTTATGGTAGAGATGTTATACTTTTTTAAGAATGAGTGCCGTCTTAAGATGTGATTATTGTTATCCAATGTGAGTTTCGAAGAAATGCCCTAAAGTTGATATTTATTTTCGTCTAAGCTGTTTGAGGTATCGCATTTAAATTAACACCAGTACATATCATTGCCACCTGCAGAATACAGAATAATGTATTTATTGTTTTTTCACGTTAAGGAATAAATAACTCATGAAAGAAGATTTCTAATAGTGTTCAAGCTCAGCACGTCATTAAAAGAAAACTTTTTTTTTTTTTTTTTTTTTTTTCGCTTCACGTTTCTGGGACGTGTTTCTTTTAGCCTGTACACATTTTGGTAAAAGAAACTTGTTTCGAAGTTCTGAACCTCTGAATATGCAAGAATACAACACTTCCGGCGAATTCTTGATAGTTTTTTTTTTTTTCTCCAGTTTTTTATCCCCGCATTTATTCTTTTTTTTTTTTTCTTTTTTTACTATTGACACAGGTATTTAGGTCAAAAAGACATAGCTTTGAACTTCCAAACCACTAAGCATGTGACGTATAGTGCCTCTGACGAGTTTCTAACAATGACCATCTACGCAATCTTTTATGCAGTGAAGAGCGACAGTAGCTATACATATGCATAAATAATTTCAGATTAAAAAAAGCTCGACCACGCCCTCTTTCCTCGTATTGTTCTCTTTAACAGTCCGAAATATCTGGAAGGGGGGGGGGGGAAGGGAACTGAAGCCTCCCCCCTCTCCCCCCCCCCCCCCCCCCACCACTACCCTCTTTCCCCCAGTTTTTCCTCTTCCGACGCCACTTGTATGGTATAACGCTCCTCGACCCCGAGTTGTGTCGGCTTTTTGCGAGGCGATTCCTCCGTCCCAGAAAATAAACCTCCAGGACAATTACAAACTTAACTTACTATATGCCAGCGTCACTCGGGCAGCGTTCGATCGGACTACTACCAGCGTGCAAGGGGTGGCGAGGTAGTTTGCCAGGTCGCTTCAAGGTTTTTCTGAGCCTCAACCTCCTGCTCGCCCCTGGCCGTTTCGAACTGGATGAGTATCGTAAAACAGTGTGTTTGTGTGATCAGTACTGCGTGATGCAGGTTAAAAACACCCCCCTGGGCTGGCGGTCACAATTACTGATCTATGGTCACACGTCACTCTGTACCGGCAAATATTCCAGCACATCCGGGACACTCGTCATCTCATTTCATTGCCTGACCAACTTCGCAGAATTTATATATCACACCCTAACTTTTCTCAACTTGATTTTGTGAAAACCAGTGAGTCGTGAAAACGTTATTTAAAACTGAAACCGTGGAGGAACTTGAAAACCGGACTTCGAACTTTGAAAACTGGGACTAGAAAGGAATTCAAAATCTTTGAAGTTTTTTTTTTTCGACTTTAGCGTTAAAAGAGAATCGAAACCTTCGAACTTTTCGAACTTTATGCAGAAATAAATTCGAAATCTTCGAATTGTTCGAACTTTATGTCTATAAAAATTCAAAGCGTTCGAAGTTTTCGGATTTTATTTCCAAAGAATTTCGAAATCTCCAAATTTATCGAACCTGAAGTAAAAAAATTTCGAAATATTCGAATCCGAAATTTTAGAAACCGTGAAAGCTTCGAACTTTTCGAATTCGAACCACGGTCGGTACGAAAATATAAAAATTTTCCGAAATCGAACCTTAGTTCACATCGCAAATATCGAAACCTTTCGAAATCGAACCTGGGGTGGTTCGCAGCATCCCTATTCGATACCGATCAAGAATCGACGCCGTGTGGACATGATGCAACAGAGTATAGAACCAACGGTTCAGCAACACGAGACGAGACAATAAATGCACAGCACAAAGAACCGAGGCAATTGTGTCAGCAACTTTTACTCCTCCAAGCTTTGTAACATACGTACAAGGTAATCCCTCGCCAGTGTGTTGTCGGCACGTTCCTATGAGGACACAGGCCGGCTGCGCGAGAGCCAGACGCTCGCCTCCTTGTTGGTGGGACAAAGCACGAGCGCTGCAATCTTTTGTGAGAAACAACACTGCCCCCCCTTCCTGCCCCGAGTGCCACAATTCTATGCCAAAGGAGACGGAACTGCGGCGCCTACGCAAACGTCTGTTGTTGTGCGGCCAACGAGGACGTGCGCTCCAAGCGGAGTTGCACCGGCGGTGACTTAAAAAGCACTAAAAGAGCGGCGTCGCGATTTCCGAACGCGGCAGAGCCGGACGAGAAAAATGCAGTTTCAAAAACCGAGAGGCCGGCTCTGAGCACTAGCACAGCTATCACGCGCTAGAGGGGTAACTTTTTTGCTTCGCTCAATATTAACCTGCCCCCCCTAAAAAAAAAAAAAGAAAAGCAAAGATCTTTCACCGGTGCAGAGAGAAACGAAGAGTTTCCAAAGGGCGGGAGAGACGCTTCAGAGCGTACGAATATCCAGGGTTGCTCGAGATCTCGCCTAAGGGCCGGCAAACCAGGGGCCCAGACGCCAGCTATTTCGGTGAAGCGGTGAAGCTAAACTAACGGCGTGCCAGGGGTGTAACTCTTTAAAGGCCCCCGCCCCCCCAACCGTTGAGATGGGGGTGGTAACAATACATGGGGTGGGAGGGCAGGATCGAAACCCCGGCTCGGGGGGGCCGCTTCTGGGAGGCAAAACAATGGAAACAAAGCGTACCGCCGGACATTCTGAAGGAACACCTCCCACTGTACATCTAAACCTCTAAAAGAACTAAAAAAAAACTAAGAAGGCAATGTAGAGTGGAAGCTGACGACCCCCAAACCCAACAACCTACGTAAAAATCTAACTAGCGACGACGAAAAAAAAAAAGCGAAGGAAGCCGCTACTTTGGAATGTCCTTCTTAGCAGCCACCTTTTTGCACGTGACGAGGCAGTTTTGTTTTTTTCTTTCAGTAGCTGTCCCTTCCAACCGTCGTCTCTGAGGCGACGGCACTTTTGACCAGACATCTGCAACAATGTAGAAACGTTCGAAAGGACCAAGAAGAACAAAGAGACCGCAGACTAGGTTCCTGTCTCCTATGAAAAAGATAAAAAAAAAAAAAAGACAATGAAGTCGGGGCAGAGAAAACGGAACAAAAATGCGTTCCCAACTTTCCCGCCGTCGACACGAAAGACCGCCGGCACACAGCCGAGTTGGTGGGCAAGTCTCGATAAATGTAGAGTGGCCGGAAAAAAAATAAAATAAAAAATGAAGACAACAAAGAAAAGTGAGGGTAGGCGCATCCTTTCACGTTACGAAAGGCGCGCGCTACCCATCAAGGGAGGGATGGGGTGGGTGGGTGGCGATGGACTCAGTCAATCATGAGCTCGAAGTGGACGCTGCCAACGCGATCTTGCCGGTCGTGGTGGATGTTCTTGGCCCAGGCCTTGCACTCCATGTTGATGAGCACGCCCCGCTCGGCATGCCAAAACTGGACAAAGATGAAAGGTGACACGTAGCCCGGTGTGTTCCTGTACGGGAAGTAGTAGTTCTCTATGCCATTGCTCGGGTAGTACGCCAGCGGTCCCATGTTTTCCTCGTCAGCGACATTCTGCAGGGAAGCAGCAGAGCACCATAAGTGAGCGCAGCACATCAACAGTAGCAGCGAGTGCTTTAGGGGGGACACTACCCAGAAAAAACAAAACAACATCCGCCAACATATAGAGAGTATTCCCAGAAAGTTTCATTAGTTTACACTGCATAGTTATTTTTTTATAAATTATCTTCGGTCTATCGATGCTAAAGAAAAGGTTGGAGCACTTTGAATGCATTTTTCTCCGTTCCACTTCTCTGCATAAATTTCACTTTAGAAAAACTATTGTTTTGCTATTATACACAATAGATAATTATTCTTGGGTGGTTTTCAGGGGTAGAATTTTGTGAGGAACATGCCTGGCTGGTTAGTTTTTCTAACGACTTGTCGTTGCGAGCATGACTTGTCGTCGTGATCAGTGGTGGGAGCTGTAGGGGGTCATCTGCCATTGCATTGTCATGGATGTGGGTGCGAACCTATCTTCAGTAAGACTGGTATCATTGGCAATGGAAGGGACAGAGTGAATAGAGAAATTTTAGAGGCGCATGCAATTATAAAAGCAGGCACGAACTGTGTAAGCCAAATGTCACTGGGCTTGAGTAGAAAAGAGATGTTTTTTTTGGACACGTGGTGAATGTATCATGTGACGTGGGCGGAGTTGCTGTTTTCTTTGTTTTGTTTTCATGTGATGAAATTTCAGTTGAGTCAGCGCTTGTCCTGTTTGCACTTCCTTTAGTCTCCGTTTACTGTGCGCCGTTTGCCTTTTCGTCAGTATGAACCAACTAATGCACATCGCCACCCTTATTTAGTTTTTATTCATTCATGCCAAAAAAACTACATTTGTAAAAAAGCGCAGACATGGAAAAAGAAGTAATCTTCTTATGGAGTTACATTTATGAGAAACAATGCAATATAGCGAAATAACTAGTAGGGTATGTGCTATGGCTATTCCTATAACTATATTACACACAAAAATCACAAATTTTTATTTTATTTTAAAACAATGTTTTCCTAAGCGAACATACTGACTTTGATAATGCAACATTTGCAACGAGTTTCAGAATTGACATAGGACAATCGAATTTGGCAGGGATGGGCTTGCCACTCATATAAACTTCCACTGCAAATTTGATGGAAATTAAGCAAGCCGTACAGAAGTTGACTTTCGTGGGTAGTGTCCCCCCTTAGGTGCAGAGTACTATGAGATGCTAGTCACTAAAACCATTCGCATACCTAGCTGTAGATGTTGGCAACAAAACATGGCATGGATTGTTTCACAATTAACCGCAGGATTAATTCAGTGGAATGATGACATGTAACTACTAAAAGTCTATGAGAGAAAGTAACTCGTTACAACGGGCCATAGGTGAAGCGCAAGCAGCAGTGCTTAAATTTCTGGACAAGGCCTTCGCATACTGCCCGAACACTCGCACAACAGACCCAATTACAAAGCTAGAACGAGAAGTCGAGGACAACTGTCGGCCATTGCCCGAGAAAGAGCTCTGGGCATTTTTCGTTAGTGCCTCGTAGTTCCTGCTCAATTCCAGAGCGCTCGACCAACTATCCTTGAATGTAATACAACACCTGGAAAACAACTGTGGCTGTGCCCAACCGTGCAGCTCTATCGCAGATGTCCAGCAATACTATCAAGACTCTGACGTTATACGGAAACTGTCCCGCTGGCATCGAGGCTCCAAAACTCCGTTAGGTTGCTGTGACACAGTTAAAGGGACACTGACACCCCCCAAAAAATTTTTTTCATTTTTTTTACTAGGCATTTTATTTGGGTGTCGGAGGACAACCCAATTAATATTTTGCAACAGAGTAGCGTATATTTTTAATAAAGCCAAAAGACGCAACTGCTCGAAACCAAAACCGAAACCCGAGCACGGAGATCGGAGAAGTGGAGAGGAGAGAGTGAGTGGCGGAAGTCACGTGGCTACACCCGACCGTATGTTTTTTTTCCCCCCTCTGCAAAGCAGACAACATGCGTGGCGGCGTAGCGAGAACTGTTTGCCGTGCGATTCTTTTGCAGTTATGTTTGTTCCGCTCGCTGTTCTGCACTTCAAGATGAGATGTTTTGTACATCTAAGTGTTGGCAATTAGTAGTGAGTGCCCGTGGTGAATTTCCGTGATCGGCTCCGAAAAGAATACACCCAGATGTTGCGTGAAGAGCTGGCTCACATGTCCTGCATCCGAAAAAAAGTGGTATGGTGCGACACAGTTTCCAAAAGATCAACGGAATCGGAACCAATGGCTGGCTGCAATTCCTGTAGAACATTTACGGGCACTTCGAAAAGCGGACGCTACCCGATTTATATGCTCCTTGCATTTTGTGGAAAGTGATAACATTGAGTTCGCAGGTGTAAAAAGGGAAATCCCATACCATTTAGTTCAGTGACGTTTCGTCCACATTTGTTTTGTTTTTTTGTTTCTTCAGTGATAATTGTAAAAAAAAGTAATGTAAACCTCGCAAAATGTCTGAAAAAGAAAAAAAAAATGGTTTCGCTGGGATCGAACTTGGTCCTGCCGCGTGTGAAGCGGATGTCTTTCCACTGAGCTACTGGGGGAGCTCCTTCCTCACTAATAATACAGCCGGTAAACTGTAAGTTGGAAAGTTTGTTGCTAATTTTCCTCCAGCAAAAGCACTGCCGGGTCGAAGTTGGGAAGCACCACACATTGGCGACGTTCGCAACTGGTAAAGAAATCGTATGTGTGCATATTCAACTCAAAGTACGCACTTCGTGCTTGACGTTTGCGCGAATGATGTCTTCAGCCACGGGAAGGGGCAACGGCTCGGCGACGTATTCGTGCAAATCGGCTGGGTGGTTGGGCGTGATCAGTCCCAAATTTCTCTTTTAAAGGCAGACAGAATTCGCCGGTACCACAAATGACAGTTTTGAAGTAGAGGTCCCACGCCTGTCGTCCGCTGCCATGGCCTCCCCGCCAGTCCCACGATACGCGAAACGACGCACGCACAGAATGCTTCCAATTCTCTGTGCAACTTTTTTTTTTTTTTTTAATCAATGTATTTGCTGCAAATACATTGATTTAAAAGCCACAAAAAAAATTTTTTCGTATTTTTTTTTATTTTTAATACTGAGTGTGTGCCTTCAGTGACCAACGACTTTGATTAAATTTGGTGGTTGCGTCGAAACCTTAGAAAATGGCCCGTGACTATGGAAAAGAGAGCGAGCGAGACTCGAACCGGCCATTTCTTGATCGGCGGTGTTCGGGTAGAAAGAAAGCGAATTTAGAGCCGCAAATTGTGTTCTGGGTAGTTCGGCTCTCATATGTCATGTACAACTAAAAACCTCGGTGAGCATAAATACCCTGTCAGTGTCCCTTTAAGATGTTTTGTTGAATGCCAAACTGGTACTAACAACCCAGCCAAAAACACCTCAGTGCCAATCGGACAGCACTGCAATTTATCGGCCCAATGGCTTCGTCCGGCATTATGCTGGGATGCTGCAATTCTGGAGAGCAATTATCTCCTGGGACAGCTAGAGTTAAAGGAAAACTCAATTCCCAATCAAACTTTTTTTGTTAAGTGTCTGGATTGGCAATGCGTCAAAAAATTAACTTTCCCAAAGACCAAAAAATATTGGTGCTGCTCTATTTATGTCACTAAACAAACTTCCGAGATAGAAGCGGTTCTCATATTTCGGCACAAGGATCCGAAATAGAACCAAGTTTCAGAACACCTAGAAACACAAAACTTTCAGAAAACTCTTTTCTAAGTGCCTGGGTTTTGCAACCCATATACAGCCCTAAAAACTTGTTTTTGGGTGAAGTTTATTTTTTGACGCATGTGTCACAGAAAAATCCACTTACAAGATTAAGAAGAAATAAAAAAACCTGAAAATGTTGTCTTAACCTATTATCACTGTGTCTGGGCTGGCCCTTAAAAGTGCCCAAAATAATACCCCCATGTTTCAGGATGGTGAAAATTACTGGGCAATACTGTAAATATATCGTGTTGAGAATATTAGCTTTGAAAGGGGCATTCTATTTTGTTAGTTTTGAAGAAACAAACAAATGCTCGATAAACCTTGCGTGAAGGATAGGAAATTCACACTTTTTATGTGAAAGCTAGGTGATACTCAAGCGCAACGTATTCAGTTGCTATGCGTGTGACGGCCACAGTGTGCTCGCGTGTGCCAAATTGATCGACAACTGAACCTCGAGAGGAAACCCCTCGTACATAAACTGAAGACAGACCCTTATCGATTACGGCATCAAAGATGTCAGTGACGTCGTCGACAGCACAGTCGACCACCGAAATGAGTCCCATGTACACTAATAGTGCCCATCTTTAGGTCAAGGATTGTTTAGAGTGTCTGTCTCCGCTAACTTAAAGAGTTTGCCCAAAGCGCTATGCACCAACGTGCGTGGCAACTCACCTCTCCCTCACAGGTGATGTAAACATAGCGGGGGTCGTAGCTGTCCTGGATGTACTTTGGCAACTTGGAAGGGAAGGAGTTGTTCTCAAACGGCTCTGGCACCCAGTCGAAGATCTGGAGAAGTTGACAACATTAATACAGAGCTCCCAACAAAAAGGACAACTGTAAATGTATGCCCTCACACCTTAAGCTATATCACAGCCAAAGCTACATGCAAGAGCCACTTGCCTTAAAGGACACATGTAGAGGAAGAAAACTTGTTTTTTAAACTGCCTAGACAGAAAAAGAATGTCATAAAAGGAATTTACAACAACAAAAAAATTTTATAGCTATATTTAAGGCGCAAAACAAATTCGTAGTTGACGCCCACATAACCGCTATAGCCACGTGGTGCTTGCACTCTTTCAGGAGCTTCATATGGACTCTAAGTTACTTATTAATCTTCGTTTCAAGTGCAACAAAAAAACATTAATAAGTAACTTTCAGAACCCAAAGGAAGCTCCTGAAAGAGCGGAAACACCACGTGATAGACCTGTACGCCGGTCAGAAACTGACGGCGGTGGCACGCCAGAACGTTCTGTTCCATCAACTGCGTGAAAGAAGCGTTCGACCGGCGGCACACCACGCTCAGCGTGCAGTGCGACTTTGCGCCAGCAGAGGTGGAGCGCGGCGGCGCACAGGTGTACTACAGGACCAGTGGCGGCTGCCGTGGCTACCAACTACAAATTCGTTTTGAGCGATAAATACAACTCTAAAAAAAATTTGTTATCGTTGTAAAAATGTTCTATAAGATTCTTTTTCCATCGAGTCTGTTTAAAAAACTTTTTTTTTCCTTTGCATGTGTCCTTTAAAGGGATACTTCAGCAAAATATGAAATATACCCGTTGTGTTCAAAAATAGGTTGAATATTATCCACAACATCCGTAAATGACAATCGCACAATTGTATTTTGAGCCTGGTGGCAGTATTTTTCGTTATAAACAGCACATTCTGGCAAGCGCTCAAAGAACAGCCAGCGGAGAGCAAGTGACATCCAACGCAATTGTTACTTAGTTCGTCTCGGGGACAAGTAAAGCTACGGCGAGGCTGACGTCGAGAGGATGGCCTAGTCGTTCCAGCCACCGAAGCGGCCGCTTTTGTGCAAACTTTGAGTGACGGGTTATCTTCTAATCTTGTAGAGGGACAATAGCAACTTCCGGTTCACATAAAAGATATTCTCGTGGAGAGGGGAGTTCCTCCTTCCCCTCTTCTCTCGTAGTGGCCGAAGGCGAGACAGTTACCGTCACTACCTCTCAAGGTTCCTGACAGGCATTACAAACGAGGCGTTAGCGACATCCACCAGATGCTCTTTGCTAATCGTTAAATTTGTTTTAACATTCCTTTTTGTGACCTTTTTAAAGAAGATATTGGAGTGTTCAATGCGATACCGCTCCTTTGAAGACATATAGACCAAACAATAAGCGCCACGATTTCGTTGTAGTATTCCTTTAAGGTCCACCTCGGTCGCACTCGTGCACCAGGAGCACCTACCAGAGCTATGAGCGTGCGCCTAAACTCGGTCTCATAATAAGTACACACTGCCAACAAAATTGCCTGCTCGATTCGGAGCTTGATCCGCGCGTGCAGTCACGCAAATGGGGCACAATATGAAGTCTTCTGGGTTCAATCCCCCCCCTCCTGCCTATCCCGGTTATATCTCTCACCTAGCGTATACAGGTGTCGTCGTACAAGGGCAGACCTACCTCACGCCGCATATCAGTGTAAAATTCGCTTTGCAGTGCATTTGTAACAGACGCCACATGCCCGACGTCCTCGCTTCCAGAGAGACCCGTTACATGCATCCTGCCAATCAGCCGAGACACGGTGCCCGCCCCGTGTTTATTGCGAGTTTACCCGAGTCCTCGAGATGCCTTATGTGCCGGGTAGCGCAAAACCTTCCAATTTAACTTGCACATCAAGCTCGTCGCACGAGTTGCATCCCAGGATTCCCGTCGCTCACTACGCCGCTGTGGATCAAGGAGAGCATACAGGGCATTTTATGTGAGCAAAAATGGAGAGGCACACCCACCCTATTCAACTTGAGCAGGATACAGGGTTGACCGTACTCGTAGCCGAAGTTGTTGGACGCCGAACAGTTGTTGTTGATATTCTCGATGGCAAAGCGGCAGGCCTTGTTCTCGTTAGGGTCGCGCTGCTGGGTGAAGTCGCAGTTGCGCAGGTGCTCTCCATCACCCTCCTGACGCTGGTAGTCTGCAGAGCAAGCATCATCTCATGTAACCAGCAGGTCTCATTATGCAGAACCATCTTACGTTGCAAAGCACGAAGTGTAGACTGCATACGAGGGGTCCCGTGGCGCGTATAAAGTTCAGAGTTTGGAAAGGAGCAACTTCCAAACGCTTCTGATATTCCAGTACGGCCGATTAAAATATCTGGTTCTGAGCCAGACTGACTCGGCAAAGATGCATGTAGGCTTGAGACACCGCAAGCTCAAGGTATACTGCAAAGCTTTAGGGGCAAAAATGTAGTTTCGGAGTACCCTTTCGGTACGAGTGTGTTCGAAGAGCACGCGTAGCACGCGAGTTTCACCTTCAAATATGGAGACAAGGCTCAATGTTTTTCAAACCTGGCGACTTTACACATTGAGTAGTTCGGCAAATGTGTCTGCTTAACAAGTTTCAAAGTTCGAAGTTTATTGAACTAAAGTACTCCATAGGATTCAAAGTTGTAACAGCACTGTAAGGGGTGCCACAACACAAGCTGGCACAGCCACGTTGAGGCTGGGGTGGACCTGGATACGTCAAGCTAGGGACACTGACACCCCCCAAAAAATTTTTTTCATTTTTTGCCAGGCGCTTTATTATGGTGTCGGAGGACTACCCAATTAATATTTTGCAACAGAGTAGCGCATTTTTTTAATAAAGCCAAAAGACGCAACTGCTCGAAACCGAAACCGAAACCCGACGGAGGTCGGAGAAGTGGAGAGAAGAGAGTGAGTGGCGCAAGTCATGTGGCTACACCCGACAGTGCGTTTTTTTTGTGTTTTTTTTTTTTCTCCTCTCCGTAGCAGACGACACGACATGCGGCGTGCGGGAACTGCTCGCCGTGCTATTCTTTTGCAGTTATGTTTGTTCCGTTCGTTGTTCTGTACTCCAAGATGAGTTATTTTGTACATTGAGGAGTTGGAGATGAGTAGTGAGTGCCCATGGTGAATTTCCATGATTGGCTTCGAAAAGAATACACCCAAGATGTTGCGTGAAGAGCTGGCTCACATGTCCTGCATCTGAAAAAAAGTGGCATTGTGCGACAGAGTTTCCGAAAGATCAACGGGATCGGGACCGATGGCTGGCTGCAATTCCTGTAGAACATATACGGGCACCTCGGAAAGCGGACGCTACCTGATTTATATGCTCCTTGCATTTTGTGGAAAGTGATTACATTGAGTTCGCAGGTGTCAAAACGGAAATCCCATACCATTTAATTCAGCGAAGTATCATCCACAACATTTGCTTGTTATTTTTTTGTTTGTTTCTTCAGTGATGATTGTAAAAAAAAGAAAAAAATATGTAAACATCAGAAAATGTTTGAAAAAAAAAAAAAAAATTCACGGGGGATCGAACCCGGTCCTACCGCGTGTGAAGCGGACGTCTTTTCCACTGAGCGACTGGGGCATCTCTTTTCTCGAGGATCTCTTTCCTTAGTAGTAATTCAGCCGGTAAACTGTAAGTTGGGAAGTTTGCTGTCGATTTTTCTCTAGCAAAAACACTCCCGGGTCGAAGTCGGGAAGCACCGCGCTTTGGGGACACTCGCACCTAGTAAAGAAATCGTACGCGTGCATATTCAACTCGAAGTAGACACGTCGTGCTTGACGTTTGCGCGAGCGATGTCTTCAGCCACGAGAAGGGAGCGACGGCTCGGCGACGTCTTCGTGCAAATCGGCTTGGTGGCCGGGCGTGTCGTACGGGATGAATACCAATTCTTCTGACCAGTCCCAAATTTCTCTTTTAACGGTAGACAGAATTCGCCGGTACCGCGAACGACAGTTCTGAAATAGAGGTCCCACGCCCATCGTTCGCTACCATCGCCGTCCCCGCGAGTCCCACGATACGCGAAACGACGAACGCACAGAATGCTTCCGGTTGTCTGTGGAACTTTTTTTTTCAAACAACGTATTTACAGCTTTTTAGAAGCCACAAAAAATGGGTTTCATATTTTTTTCTATTTTTAATATTCAGTGTGTGCCTTCAGTCACCCACGACTTTGATTAAATTTGGTGGTCGCATCGATACCTTAGAAAACGGCCCGTGACCGCGAAAAAGAGAGTGAGCGAGACTCGAACCGGCCAGTTCTTGACTGCCGGTTTTTGGGCTGAAAGAAACCGAATTTCGAGCCGCAAATTTTGTTCTGGGTAGTTGAGCTCTCATATGTCACGTACAACTAAAAACCTCGGCGAGCATAAATACCCTGTCAGTGTCCCTTTAAAGAGATAGGCACGAACCACATGTTCCATTGTCGCAATGTGAACGTTGGTTTCATAGCTTAGCATGCCGGAGGCACACCACGTGGCGTTTTATCTCTTTTGGCGAGCATTAAACCGGCTCAGTTCATATTGCCGCCGACTGTACCTCCCAGAGTTCCACAGCATCTCTACTGTCAACCGTGGCTTCATCGGGAGACTCCTTAGCTGCGCCACATTTCCTGCATCCTCCTCCTCCCTTTCCCCCCCCACCAATGTTTGTGGCAAGAACACCCACCCTTGAGGTACTCGTTGATGTCGTCAACCCAGTACTTCCAGGTGCCCTGGCTGCCGGACTTGAAGTAGATGAGGGTGCTGTCCACCGTCTGCTCCGGCGGATTTGGACGGAAGCCCATTCCTGAAATGCATGAGATGCATTAAATCAACGCCACGACCACAGCACTATGTTTTTCAGTGCACACTTTAGCCTATGAACTGTTTTGTGCTGTAAAGGGGTCCTGCAAGGACTTTTTTACTGTTATTTAATTTGCACCGAACCTGAGAGCACTGAACGTTGTAACTTATGAAATTTTTCTTTTCTGGAAATTCGCTTTATTTTAAAAGTTATAGGCAAATCAAAATTACAAAAAACAAGCAAAAAATAACCTCCCTCATGACGTCCTTGGTTACTTGAGTGGCCGTGAACTAGAGGAGGGGTAGTGAGCTCATCGAGCGTCCATGGCTGCCGCACTCCCTGTCGACGGCGCGAGAGGGCGCCACTAAAGCATGTTCTGGATAGGCTGTATGCAGCGGGCAGCCAGAGCGGCTCTCAATGCATTTGCTGCGTGTTTTGACACTAATTCAGCATGACACTTCATTGGCCACAAACGACAGCAAACACGGAGTAAAGATCAGTTCATGATGGGAGCCAGTTTGCGCTGCCATACTGCGAAACGGCCAAACCGCAAGACAAAGCTTCTCGCCGAAGGCCTTCTGAACGCTCAGAGCCGGTCGGATCCTCCTGTCCATACGACCGCAGCGCTGCCGCGTACATACGGGACCTTTCCGTGTCGGCGCCTGTAACACTACTCATTTCTAGTATGTGCCGCCTTTCCCACTGCATGGCGGCGGGTATGTCGACGGGTCATTTTGTTGTTTCCGTACTTTATAAACTGCATTTGTTTCTTTTCTGATCTAAAATAGTGAACAAAAACTACTTTTATAAATGATTGAAACGGTTTGCGCCACTTATATTTTGTATTTCGACTAAAAAGAAGCTTTTAGCGGCTCTTATCAGTAGTAAGCCTAGGACCAAAGACGTCACTTTTTGCGCGCTTTCGGTACCACGGGTCGCCCTCATCGGTGGAGGAGGTTTCTACGTCATCCGGTTAAAATATGACGCAGTGATATTTAGTTTCTTGCTCTGTTCCCGCTGGCTTGCCCGAACCCCAAGAGACGTGGAAACCGCAAAAAAGGTAGACGCTTAAATATGATTGCAGGGCCCCTTTAAGCATCACCAGATTAAGCGTTCGAAGCATGGATCAAAGGCATCCAGAGAACCTGTTCTGCAGAGAACCAGATCTGGAGACATTTAAAACACCGAATTAAAACTAATTTTAAAATGCAAACAAAGTAGAGGCAATGGCACTAATATTACAAGCTCATATTTCTTTGTAATGAAGAGCATAATCCGTTGTACCAATCGGAAATCCGACTTGTTCACACAACAAATACTGAGAGCTCCGGAACCCCTTGAAAAAGCTAACCTAGTGCTCTTCTAACGTAAGGCCCGAATACCAGCTGTTGGATTTTCTCGATAGATACTTAAACAGTGGATTGAAATGTATGATGCTGCAGAGTTACTCTGCAGTAGGGTCAGTGTCCAAACAGCCTTATGAAAAAAAAAAGTTGAAATAAATTTTTATTCCTCGCACTCCCAGACCTCACTTTCCTAGCTCAAATCTGAAGAGAGATTCACACGTTGGCGTTTGACGACCAACCGCACTGCACCCATTTGCGATGGGAGAACACTGCTGCACCATCCATCGGTGACCTCGGAACCCTCCCGATCAAAGCATAACTAGAGTGAAGGAATTGTTGTATTTGCAAAATCAAATCAGGACACCATTTAAGAGTAATGGTCGCTTATATTATTGTTACAACTATTTCAAGCTCACGGTGAAAGAGTGGTGAAAATGCGAAAATGTATGTGCAGTTCGGCGGTGCACCCCAGAAATGTGTGGTCAATCACACTGAACCCAAATGTGTAACTAAGCTGGGGTGAATACCCTGCAAACACGTGGGGCCCAGTTCCTTACCTGGCACGGTTCCGATGGTGCTGCGATCGAGGACCCATTTGGGCTTGATCGTGTCCAGGGTCTGATAGAACACAATCAGCATAATGGTCCAGAATGCAGTAAGGCATGCATAGAAGATGATGTAGAAAACTGTGATCTTGACTGCAAAAGAGAAAAGGATGGGCGGAAAATTAGAGCCGTGATGCGAGCTGGCGAGTCGACAGCACAGGTGTGGCAGCGTCAAGAACGGCACAGGGGTCACCCTTGAAACGATAGAAGGGTTGTTGACACCCGCGCGCTCCAAGGGGAAACAAGGGTACGCTCGCCACTACTCCCGCGTGGCGTGCAACGTTATCGAAGGTACGGGAGCTGGGATAGGCTCCATAACACGCACTGTCCGTACGAGCATTCGAGCATGGCGCTTTCTGAAGCCACGCGCCACCATCCGCGTCTCCAACGATGATTCACAGAACTGCGGAGTTCAGAGAAACCGTCAAAACGCTCCTCAGCTCTCGCGGCGAGCTTCAGCGTCACAGCTGGCTCACGTGACCTCTACTCAACATGCTAGGCACGTCTCATTAAATCGGGGTTGAGGTCAAATGTACGCTCGGCTCAACCCTGAATCAGCACGTCGAGCCACAGCACACTGACGTACACAATCCACTAACGTTTTAAGGTAGGTTCAGGGTCACGTTTCCTGAATGGAAAATCGGCAGCGACGGAGTTTTTGTCAGCCAGCAGTTGTAGCTTGCAAAGCTAGCGAGCATGTTCCGAGAAAAAAACAAAAAAAAGAAAAGAGGAGTTTCGACGAACGCGCCTGGATTCAACGCCAGTTCCGAGCGCCCCAGTTTAGCGAAGCCGAGACAAGCTTCGCAGTAACGTTTCTGCCACGCCACAGTCATGCCGCAATCGCAAAACCTGCTTGCGCTTCACGCGGCGACCGCCTTGGAACCTCCAAGGTCGTTTACACTGGGGTTCCACCGCACCCATTCAATCCAAAAGCACCGCCCGACGATGTCCACAGCCGAATTTCACGCCGCAACACACTTGCAAAGGATCGAAGCATCCAAACACGCTTCCTGCGAGCCGCGACCGAGCGCTCGAAAAGGCTTGCGGCTAAACGTCCTCAGTTTGACCGCAAAGCCAGCCATGTTAGCACACCGTCGAGAAGGGCGTAGGTAAGGGAAGCCGATTCGCCACTTTCTGCATCCAAATCGTGCTTCGTTAACCCTCTTTTCACCCACTCGAGAACGGGAACAGCGTCCTGGGCTACCCTCCCGGACGAACGCGTAAGCCTCGCGATTAAAATAACCCTCAAGCTCGACGCTGCATCGAACGGTTTCATGGAGCCGCCGACCACCCACGCGATTGCTCGTACCGGGAGCGTTCGCGATCGGAGAAAGTAAAAGGTCCAGTTCAAACTTACACCAGCTGAGGCCCGTTCGTCCGAACACTTCTTTCGTGTCCGGGTTGTAGAGGAACTTGAGGAAACCCCCTTCCTTGGTTTCCCCCTTCTTGTAGTAGTCACCTTCCTTGCCGGCCATGTTCACAGCGCGGGCTCGATCGATGGAATGACGCTCGCCGAAGAGCCCGGATGCTCACTTTTGGGCCGACCGCAGCGCCGCGCAGCCGCTGCGGCGACCCGATTGGACTGGGCCTCCTCACTCTCCTTCGCACCGCTAGTTTACCTGTACGTGACGTCACGGATGGCCCGTCCGTGTAGATCGGAAATTTTACGTTCGTCGCCTCGTTTCTCCATAACGCCGCCTGATAGCTGAATAGGTGACCGAGAGATACAGAAGCCCGCTGAAGGCCATTTCATTGCTTGGGGTTCCATTGCCATCGTATGTTTAAAACGACACACACAAAAAAAAGTCCACACAAGTTTTTTTTTTATTTTATCTTTAAGTATTTGAAGTGTTTGTCAAGTGTGCAAACCCATTTCAATTGACTCTCAGTGTTGCAGCACGAGAGTATTATCACATAAAAAAAAATTCCGCTCTAGAAATTAGAAAAAAGAAAGGAAATCGTAGGTTAGTTGTAAAATATGGAGGTGCATGCATTAAACTTTAACAAGTTCGAACAATTTTACGTCTGACATAATATATGTATATATCTATATCTATATATATATATATAACAGAAACTGCGTTGGGTGAAATACTATGAGGCATTGCTGCTTATATAATATCCGTGTTCATTAATTGCAAATGGTTATTGCAAGGGCCGGGATCAATGATTAGTCAGGTCACAGAGAAATTGTTCGGACCAAATTACTCTCGCAACGTGGATTGGAGGAACGACGACTGGTCACGAACCATTCCGATTTTAGCGGTTTGCGTTTGTCACTTTGTGTGCCGCAGTAATTATCGCTACACAGCCAATTAAGAGCACAAGACTCTGAGCAATGCAATTAAGATAAAGTACCACATACTGTCAATCGAATATATTTGCAACTATACCAAATTACAACCAAAAGCAATTAAAATATCGTGTATAAACTAGCTCAGCTTCAAGCCGTCACAACAAATACACAGTATATTAGAGCAGTGGTTCTCAAATGGGGGTCCGCGGACCCTTTGGGGTCCGCGAAGGCATTCTAGGGGTCCGCGAAGCCCTGCCTAATCAGTCAAGCCCGACAATAAAAGTTAATTTTTTTTTCAGATTAGGAAGGAATGTTCCAATTATCTGGTGAGTTTTCTCGTGTGTATGTCGATGAAAGAAGACTCTTTCACATTAACCCTTAGTTATATCCATTCATTAAATCATTATAATATTTAATCACTACCTTTCCCTTCCCCTCATCACAAATGGGGTCCTCCATCATCTCTGCCGACCCGCAAGGGGTCCGCGAGACCTCAATGGTTGAGAACCACTGTATTAGAGTATTTCAGATAGGCACAAGTCTGGATTGAACCTAAAATGCGTTTCCTATTTAATATGCAACCAGTGGTTAAAGTCAGGAGGAGGGTCTCGGGGGATCTCAGACACCCCACGAACTTCGACGGGGGGTCTGAGTAGATACAAGCGTGGCGCCCCTAGCGGCGAAGTTGAGAACTAAACCTGTGGGTACAAGATGAATTATTTGGGCGTGTTTTTGACGGACCGTTCGGCTGTGTGTATTAAGTATGAAACGGAGTATACACTTTTTCGGACAAGGGCGTAGCCATCTCGAATGTCGACACTTCTGATATGCGGTAAAAGACCGTTTTGATCTCTCCACGCCGCTGGAAAATGCTTACGAAAAATGTGTGATTGTCACACATTCTTGCTTTACCCAACCTATATTTTCTCGCATACCTTAGGCTGAAGTGTTTTATTATATTTTCGTCCCGCATACCAGACACGGAACCTACGTGACTGAGCAAGACAGGAAACAGAAAACGTTTTTAGGATCCCTGGGGTCCTGCAGCGCGAGCTTTTGCCCCACGTGCTTCGAGCTGCGGTGCGCACTCGGATCTTACAAGAACTTCGATGTCCGCACAACACCTCAAATCATTCTGCATTCTGGCTTTTCTCTCCACACTGACAATGGAATGAATGAGTGAAAGGACTTTATTTGTAGCAAGGAGATTGCGCTCGGGCCCAGTGTTGGGGCTCATTTGAACCCCTCGTGCCTTCTGTGCCATTGACAGTTGCTCAACTGTGCCCCTAGACTAGAGTCTACTCTCAGAGTGCAGTCTGGACTCATATGAGTCATGATCCTTCCCAAGTCGCACTCACCTTCCAAAAGGGCAATGACGGACACGCCCAGAACTTTTTTATCACGTCAACTACTTCATGGAAACAGAACTGAGCTCCAGCCTAACAAGATCGCAAACAATAGAGAACAAAAAACAAAACAAAAAACGTTAGTTAAATTGAAAATTTAAGATTATAAATATTTTTTTTTGAAAATCGAGTAAATAACAATTACAATTGCTTTTAGTCAAAATATAATTCACTACAATTACAAGCTACCCAAAACGTAATCGTTTTTTTTTTTTAATTACTACCCAATTATTTTCTTTGGTATGTAACAGAAACATAGAAATGGGAACAAAACTACACTAAAAAATATTTTCGAGCAAGCAGTAAGTATAAAGAGTTTACTTTCTCAGTGCGGTTGCCATTGAGAAACCGATGATCGATCTTTTGTGAATATACGGAAATGGCAAGCTCAGTATAAGAGATTCCCGTCACAACCTCGCAGAGTTCCCTTTTGACTAATTAATTTAAAAAAAAGAGGCGACAATTAACGCATAATTGATAGACTAACTTATTAGGTTCACAGCCCAGGCCGTTCTAACAAAGAACGCTGAACTGATTTTCCGACGAGTGACATTACAACAGCGACCAAACATATCCGCAAAATTTAATGGATTTTGTTATTATTTTTTAAGCAACTCCGATAAGAGCAATGACCCAGCTGAAAGCTTGACACGGTAAGTGGGCATGCCATAAAGCGCGAAAGTAATGACAGAGCTCCCAAACAATCGGTAAGAGTGAGAATGCCCAAGTACGAAATGTCGTTTTAAAGTACAGGGAAACCTGTCAAATCGGGCACCGACAGGGCATGTCCCTTCACGATGTACATCTCTCTAGCTAGGACATTTCCCTAAGCGGGGCAGTCCAAGCGGGCATCGCGAATGTCCCAATGGGGGTGCTTTCGCTCTATTTTCGGAACACTAAAGAACAATATGCGATGCTCAGAGTTAGGCAATAAAACTCAAAATTTCTTATCCGAAAAGCCTGATCCTCTATTCCTCTCTCATAAGACGACAGAAGCAAGGGGTGCTTGTTGTATGTACATATACTATAAATTAACATCACAAGTTTGTCCAAACTTGAAAACCTCAAAATATTCATTAAAAAAAATATTATCAGGTCCGAAGGCTCCGAATGCTGCATGCTCCGTTGCATGATAGAAACAGTGGAAGCCGACAGCGACATGCTTTATGCAGATCTGTGTCTTCTGTGTGTTGAGTGTTTTGTTGAGGTGTCAGTGTAACCCGTTTTCCAAAAATCTTCATTTTCTTTTTTAAATATACCGATTTTAGTAGGCGCTGCAGGTACGCGCGACGGCGCCCTAACTGTATTCCACAGGGGACAGGCTCCAGTGCACAAGATGATTCGTGTCGTCTATAATGCTCAGGTTGTCGCGCGTGCAGAAAGGCTACAGTTCCCATGATCCATGCCGGCAGCGGCAGCATCGGAATTCACTGGTGAGATGAATCTATTGTCACAATAATCAGGATGAAAATTTAGATGAAAAAACTGTGAGTGCGCAGGCGAGCTGGTGGATGTTGATCATGATGTAGATTTAGATGACGTGTTACCGTCATCATACCGGAGCTAGTCCGCCGACCGCATCACATCTCCTACGCTCGTGTCCACCTCAAAAGAAAAAAAAAACAGTTTTGCGTATTCTTCATGCGCCGTGCGATGTAGTTTTTACAATATTTGGTTATCGGAGGAACAAGCGACGCTTTTGGCGTTTGAAACGTGCGCGTCTTGACAAGGTAACATATATCTGATCAAAAATGCTCCTGCATATATCTGAATTGTCGACACAAAGGGGGAAATCAGTCATGCTCCGCGAGGTGTCGGTCTTTTTTTACTACGCTACTTGAGGTGAAGACGAGTATAGTCCCCGTTAAATAACGTCACCATCATACCGACAAAATTAAGAAATAAAAAAAAAAACTCCTTTTTTACGGTATTATGTATCGGGGCTTGTTAAAGTCACGGTTTCGTCCTTTTTGTTATTTTCCCAACTTTTTGTTAAATATTGATACCACATGTTGTAGCAAAACACAAAACACCAATACCAACCCCAGGAATAAAGAAACAAATTTGTGTGTTTAAAGTCATTTAACAAATTTCGTTATCTACGTTTAACATCGGCATTGCATAGAAACATAATTCGAATATACACAGTGCACACCGAGTGGCACATACTTTATCAATTATTAAATAAAATCATAAAAAAGAAACAGCAAAATAGCATGATTCTTATTAACGCCTCGCAGCCGGTTTGATACGAAAACTGGGGCACTCGGACGTATTTTCAGAATACTTTCAAGAACAACATTCAAGTAATGCCTTGAAAAAAAACAAAAACGGGGAATTATGAATGCGCTCAATGAGGTATATGCTCCATGGTAGCAGCACTTAGGCCATTTTGATGTTTAAAATTACTGTTGCCAGTTAAGCGGAACTTTATTTGAAATTGAGGAAAGCAGCCTTCTGTCCTCCACAAATGTTAATGGAGTCCGAGATAGATCGAAACAACATTGCCCGAGGTTCCCGGATACCTCACAAAGTCCTTAACACTAATAGAACGGCGCCCACGAGAAAATCGAGGAATGGAGTTCCGAAACTAGAAGCGTAGCTAATTTCATGACTACCGTATCGTGTTACCAAAATTGCGTTTAATGCTTTACCTTTTTAAAGATATATTGTTAGTCGTTTTGGGTTGCAGTTACGTCGATTCGCAATAGAGAAAAGTAAGTACACACACACAGAAAATGAAGTCTTCTCCGTACTCCAAAAAACTTCTTTTTACTTTGTTTTACCTTTTTACAATTACACACAGGTAATCGACTAAGCGGAACCGTTCGCTTCGTGCGTGTCTAGTCGTTCATATTCAGGCAGTGTCTCTGAGGGCAGCCCGTCTTGTCGAACATATCACACAAGCGGGTGTTGGGGTGTTGGCACCGTGCCCTCATACGCGCTATACTTCGTTTCACCGCAGCTTGGCAAAGGTAGAACGCTACGGCCTCTTCGA